GCAGGGTGGGCAGCGCAGGGTGGGCAGCGCTGGGCGCCGCGGGCTGTCCCCGCCCCGGCCCCGCAGAGCCGCCCCGCGCGGGGCGGGGCGCAGCCGGTGCGCTGGTCCAGCGGCGGAGCCGCGCCGGGAGCGGGTGCGCGGAGCCGTGCGGAGCCGTGCGGTGCGGAACCGAGCGGAGCCCAGCGGGGCACCGGCGCTGCGGCGCCTCCCCGGTGCCCGCCGGGCCGGGCCGGGGGCGGCGGGAGCAGGTGAGCGGCGGGGCAGCACCGCCCGCTGCCCTCTGCAGCGGACAGACGGGGCCGGGGCCGGGGGGCTCCTCGCAGCGAGTTCGTCGCCCACCGGAGCCGCCCGGGCTCGGCGTGCCGGTGCCGGCTGGGAGGGAAGGGGCTGCACCCGCCGAACGGCCTGGAGAGGAGGAGGCTTTCCCCCGGCGCTCGGTGCTCCCGGGCATCAGTCGCAGCCGCCGGGACGCACCGGTTGGATTTGTGGAGTCGCAAAGGCTCCGGGATCGCCGGAGCCAGGAGGAGCTGAGGCGTGCTCGGGCAGGCTGCTCCAGGAGGGGACATGGCGAGGTGGATTGGGAACCCCCCCTGCAGGGAGCCTCTCTCCCGCTGAGCTTGGCAGCAGGATGGACGGATCCTCCCAGGAATCCCTTCATTCCTATTTACTCCCTGATTTCTAGAATCTTCTCTCTTCCCAGAGCCAGAGAAGATGACATCTCGGCTCCTCTGAGCCAGCAGTGCCCAGGGAGAGCCATGGAGTACGAGCTGCCCAACGCCACCGCCTTCTGGTTCTCCCCGGCCTCCCCCTTCGACAACTTCTCCCTGGAGGCGCCCACCAACACCTCCCAGAACGCCACGGGCCAGCACTTCGACCTGACCAGCAACGCCATCCTCACCTTCATCTACTTCGTGGTCTGCATCATCGGGCTGTGCGGCAACACGCTGGTCATCTACGTCATCCTCCGCTACGCCAAGATGAAAACCATCACCAACATCTACATCCTCAACCTGGCCATCGCCGACGAGCTCTTCATGCTCGGGCTGCCCTTCCTGGCCATGCAGGTGGCCCTGGTGCACTGGCCCTTCGGCAAAGCCCTCTGCAGGATCGTCATGACGGTGGATGGCATCAACCAGTTCACCAGCATCTTCTGCCTGACGGTTATGAGCGTGGATCGCTACCTGGCTGTGGTCCATCCCATCAAATCTGCCAAGTGGAGGCGGCCCAGGACAGCCAAAATGATCAACGTGGCCGTTTGGGGCGTCTCCCTGCTGGTGATCATGCCCATCATGATTTATGCCGGGGTGCAGCACAACCACGGCAGGAGTAGCTGCACCATCATCTGGCCGGGAGAGTCGGGCGCCTGGTACACGGGGTTCATCATCTACGCCTTCATCCTGGGCTTCCTGGTGCCTCTCACCATCATCTGCCTTTGCTACCTGTTCATCATCATCAAAGTCAAGTCCTCGGGCATCAGGGTGGGCTCCTCCAAGAGGAAAAAGTCCGAGAAGAAAGTCACCAGGATGGTGTCCATCGTGGTCGCCGTCTTCATCTTCTGCTGGCTCCCCTTCTACATCTTCAACGTCTCCTCCGTGTCCGTCATGATCGTGCCCACGCCCGTCCTCAAGGGCATGTTCGACTTCGTGGTGGTCCTGAGCTACGCCAACAGCTGTGCCAACCCCATCCTCTACGCCTTCCTGTCCGACAACTTCAAGAAGAGCTTTCAGAACGTCCTGTGCCTGGTGAAGGTCAGCGGCATGGACGAGGCCGACCGCAGCGACAGCAAGCAGGACAAATCCCGCCTCAACGAGACCACGGAAACCCAGAGGACCCTGCTCAACGGCGACCTGCAGACGAGCATCTGAGGGGACGGCGGGGTTTGTCCTGCCCGCGTCCCTCCCCTTCCCGCTGGCTCCCGGCTGCAGCGGGGGGTGGCAGCACGGGGCCAGGCCAGGAATGCCACCTGAGGGGACGCGCGGTGGCCTCGGGGCTCCTCTGCTGGGCTCCTCTCTGCTGGCTTGGCTCGCAGGTGTCGGGATGGATACGGGTCAGGAGGAGCCGCCTCGCCAGGAAAACCAAGACAATTCACGGCGACACCAAAGTGCCACCAAAGTGGGCACAGGTACGGCCGGCGCGGCTCTGCTGGGTCCCCCGTGCCACCCTCGGCGCCGGCTGGCTTCGGGGCTCTGCACCGGGACACACCGGGGGACCTCAGGAGGAGCCGAGGCCACAGGTGTGCGACACCCTGCACCGACCTGGTGGGAGCTGCCGGCGAGCGTCCCTCCCGAGGAGACCGGGATTTTTGGGATTGCGTTTTTTCCCCGGGATATTCCCTGCTCCGCCGCGTGCCCTGCCGCCTCCCCGCGCTCTGTGACTGCCGCAGCCGCCCTGCCGGGAGGGGACACGCCAGCACGGAGGTGACTTCCCCACGGGAAGCAGCTCTGCCCCCGCAGCAGCCCCTCTGATGCCACCCTGCCTCCTCCAGCCCTTTCCCTGCCCTGCCGCGGCGTCACCCGCCCGCACATTTTCTCCCGGGATGGAGAATTTCTCCCTTTGCCCTCCCCGGGAGCCGCTGCCTCTCCCACCGCCCGCACCGGCCGGTCCCACGCTGCGCCGGCGGCCGCGACCGCTGCTCCGGGCACCACCAGCGCTCCGCTCCCTGCTGGAAAATCCTTGGAAGTGTTTCAGCAGCGCTGACACGTTGGAGAAGCCTGGCACGGGCACCTCGCGCTGCCAGCGGCTGAGATCGGGGTTTGTCCGGCCACGGCTCCGAGGGCTGACGCCTCCCTGCTCCTTCCAGGCAAGTCACGCTGGAGAGAGGATGGGGACGGGCAGGGGGTGCTGGGGACTCGGTCCCCACCCTTGGCCCAGCCGAAGGGAGCGGGCAGAGCAGACAAGGGGGCTCCCAGCAGCAGGGGATGAGGAAGGGCAGGGCAGCACGGATCCATCCCCCTGGATCCTGCACTGTGTGACGGGTGGCGGGGCTGGCCCCACATCCGCTCTATTTGCCTTCCCGAGACTGTCCCGAAGCGTTCGGCTCTGTCCCTGTCCCTGTGCCCGGCTGCCCTCCCAGCTGGGCACAAACCGGGGCTCTGACCCCCCAGCCCAGCCCCTCCTTGGGACGGGAGGGATTCCGGGGAAAGCCCGGGGGAGAGGGAGAAGTGGCGGCTTCCTGCCGGAGCCCCGGAGCAGCTGCCGCCCCGGACCGGGTCCGTTCACAGGCCCCTGCTCCGGCGCTGAGCCGTGGGAACCCGGGGCGCTGGGTGCAGCGAGCAGCCGGGGCTCGGTCACCCTGCCCCGTGCCACCGGCACCGGCAGAACGGAGCCTTCACCCCGCGGCACCAACAGGGTGGGAGCTGAGGCCGCAGCCGGTGCCGCCTGCCCTGGGGTCCCACTTGCTCCATGGCCAGGCCACGCTCCATCCCAGAGCACCAGCTCCGCCTGAAGTTTTCCCATGGCTCTGCCCAGCTCCTGCGGCAAATCCCAGCCTGGAGCATCCCATCCGGCCGTGCCAGCCCTGCCAGCTTCCCAAAAAGCGTTCGGTGCCAGGCTGGTACCTGCTCCTGCCTCTGTCGGACGCTGCATTTACTGCAAGACAAAGCAGAGCCGTGTCAGCAATTGTTTGCTTTTAACTCTTTCCTGCTCCTCCGAGGAACGGTGCCCGCGTGGCACCTCCCTGTCCCCCCGCCGGGCACCGAGCGCTGGTGCGGGGAGCGCGGCTGCCCCCGGGCTCGGGGCACGGCGGGTCGCCGCTGACGCTGCAGGAATTGCAGCAGCAGCTCGGGGCACGGTGAAACGGCGGCCGGGGCGGGCCGGGAGCGGGGCTGGGCTCGGTGGCACAGCCGCAGCGATGCGTCAGTGCCGCCGTGGGCACTCCGTGGGGGAGGCGTGTGCGTGGGCAGCGGCGTGCGGTGGGCAGGGGGATGCGCGCAGCCCCCAGCTCTCACCTGCAGCCGGCCCAAACCCCGATGGATGGAAGGGGGACACCACAGGAGTCCCCAGCGGGAGCCTCCAGCTGGGAGCACCTCCCTCTGCGCTGGTTTCATGTGGAAATACAGAAATCCCAGGAATTCCCTGCCCAGGGCAGCTTTGTCCTGGCAAACCCCCAGGCAGTGACACTTCTGGGTGCTCAGAGTGGGATCTGGAATGTGTCCCCGCTTTGCTGGGATGGAGATAACTGCCGGGATGGGGATAACGGGGCTGCAGGTGAGGAATGAGGAGCGTGGGGCGCTGCCACCAACATCCCAAAGGCCACCGAGGCAGGATGAGGCAGGGCAGGGGCACGAGGTGGCTCCTGGGGGCTGCCAAGGCTCTCCTTGGCCACCTTTCCATGGCTCACCAAGGAAAAAGAGCAGGAAAGCAAAATGTGCTGCCTTAGAGTGCTGGGAAGGAGCTGCAACCACAGCCCACCGGTGGCTGTAAAACCAGCAAAATAAAACCTTTTGCTGTTCATTGCTGACTAATAAACATCAGCCCCGCTGCTGCTGCTGCTGCTGGTAACGAAGTTTTCCTTCCCAGCCACTTGATTTTAGTGGGAACTTGACCTCAGATTGGATCTGCTCTGCAAAGCCTCTCAGGGCTGCTGGCAGCGGGATGAGAAATCTCTGCCGGTGACTGCAGAGCCCAGAGACCGAGCGTGCAAGTGCCTCTCACTCAGACTGGCCTGGGCAGCAGGGAGCACTGACGAAGTTTTCCCAAATCCCAGGTGATGGGAAGCACGGATTGGGGTGTGCCACAAGCTCCCTGGGATGCCTGGAGCAGGGATCTGGGTCACTCCTGCACGAGCCTTCCATTCCCAGCGTGGCCTCCCCAGAGCCCGTGGGAGCCAATTCCCCTTTTCCTCCTCACCGCTGCTCGCCCCAGCGAGGCTGAGGGGTGGCTCCACAGCTCCCCAGTGCCATGGGATCCACCTGCATGGAGACATCCCTGCTGTCTCCTTCCTCAGCAGGGCTGTGGCAGGGCTGGGCACCCCCCGGTGTCCCCTCGGACCCAGCCTAGCTCTGGGCACTCTGCTGGCCAGTGCCCCGCTGTGCTCCAGAGCCAAATCCTGCTCGGGTGGGCAGCAGGGGCTGGGGCTGGACCTGGAGCCTTCCCAGAGCATCTCTGCAGCTCTTCATGCTGGCTCCAGTGCTGCTTTGGACCGAAATCATCTCCTGAGTGCACTGCTGTGGGCCCGGGGCTTTCCCCACCCTGCCACAGTGGAGAGCCTTGTCTTTGTGGGACACGCCACCGAGAGGTCCCAGCACTGCCCAGGTCCCCATCCTGCCCCACCCAGGCAAGGAGAGCTCCCAGGCTCAGAGCCGATTCCAAAGTGCTCAGGGAGAGTCTCCATCCCCTCCCTGCTGCTGCTCCAAGGGGGAATCACCAGCGAGGCACAAGCAAAGGACACAGCAAACCCCAACGATGCCTTCCTACTACCGAGTCTGGAACTTGTCTGCCCAGCCCAGGGCACCTCTGCCCTTCCCTCTGACACCCAGCCTGGCACCTGGCTCTCCTGAGGGATTTCAGCTCTACTCCCTGCTCGCTCCAGGACCTGGACTGTGAAAAGCCACAACAGGAGGGCCAGAGTGGGAGGATCCTCCTCCAGCAGTGTCCCAGGCAGGAGATGCTGAGGGAGGCAAAGCCTGGCCACTCCCTCTATCCATCCCTCCATCCCTCCATGGATGCCATCCACCCTCCATCCCACCCCACGCCGTGTCTGGGAGGAGGGACGGGATGGCTGACTGTAAATATGTGTAAATTGTATATACTGGCTGTGCCCAGGGGGGTTTTCTGTTCGCGGACCCACAGGGCACCCTTGACTCCCCCTGTGCCAGGGGCTGGGTGGCACACACGAGCCAGGAGGGACCCCGGAGGCTGCTGCCACCCTGCCAGGTGACTTCTGCAGGGCAAGGGGGGTGAAGTGAGGCCTCTGCTCCCTGCAGAGATCCAGGGCTCCCCAGCAGCACTGTCCACACCGTGTCCGTAGCTGTGCCCTGTCAGTGATCCGTGGTGACCAGGACGTGCCAAGGCCGTGTCCCTGCTCCCAGCCCTGTTTTCATCCCTGGTAATCGTTCCTCAGTGTGGGACTGAGCCTTCACACAGAGAAGGCTCCCCACTGCCACAGTCTGTGCCACAGGGAGGGAAATAAAAGAGTTTTCCTACAGCTTCTGGTTTTTTGTGTGTGTTGGAGCTGGGGGATATGAGCCAGGCTTGGACACCTCCCTGCGAGATCATCCCAGAGTTGTTCAGGTTGGAAAACCCCTCAAACATCACCGAGTCCAACCCTGGCACTGCCAAGGCCACCACTGACCATGTCCCCAAGTGCCACATCCACACAGCTTTAAATCCCTCCAGGAACGGGGACTCCACCACCGCCCTGGGCACCTCCAGTGCCCGACAGCCCTTTCCATGAAGGAATTCCTCCTGTGCCCAACCTGACCCTGCCCTGGCACTGTCTGGGGCACTTTTGTCCTGTCCCTGGCAGCAAAATTTACCAACTCCTATAAACACAAAGTTCAGCTCTGAGCAGCTGTACAGCCCAGCAGCAGCAACACTGCCCACGCAAATAAACCAAACCACTCCAAAACACCTGTGATTCTTTTGCTTCCCATCTCAATTTCCAGCACAGACGGGGGGTTTTGAGATTTAAATACAGCACCCTCAGAGCTCACCTGCTCCGTCTCAGCATCATCCCTCAGAGCTGCATCCTGCCTGCCTCCGCCTTGGGGCTGGCAGGGACCCTAAAGCTCAGTCCCGTTCCGCCGCATCCTGGGTGGATTTTGGGGAACATCCCGGTGCTCAGGGCGGTGATTTTGGAAACCCTGTTCGAACCAAGCCCCCCCAACACAAAGCGCCCTGAGGGCGAAACCTCCCGGGGTGTGCGGCGTGACAGCGGCACCCGCAGGCCGCGGGGCCCGCCCCGTTTCCCGGGAAACGGGGAAGAAAAAGAAAACGCAATTAAATAAATAAACAAGTTAGAAATAAAATAAATAAAGCGGCGCTTGCTCCCCTCGGGCCGCGTCGCCGTGGCAACGCGGCTGTGCCCGGCACAAAGATGGCGGCGCTGCCATTGAAAACGGCACAGGGGTGCGGCTGTGCCCGGCACAAAGATGGCGGCGGCGCTGCCATGGAAATGGCACGGAGGGGCGGCTGTGCCCGGCACAAAGATGGCGGCGGCGCTGCCATGGAAATGGCACGGAGGGGCGGCTGTGCCCGACACAAAGATGGCGGCACCGCCCAGCTGTGACGCCCGGAAGCGCCGTGCCCTTCCCGTGACCAAGATGGCGGCGGCGGCGGCGCGGGCCGGGCCCGGTGCCGGTGTGGCGGCGGCGATGGCGGCGCGCGGCGCCGAGGCCGAGGCGCTGTTCGAGGCGCACACGGCGGCCGAGCTGCGGGCGGTGGAGCGGCGGCTGCGCGCCGGCATCGAGCAGAAGCGGGAGGAGCTGCGGCAGATGGTGGGCGAGCGCTACCGCGACCTGATCGAGGCGGCCGACACCATCGCGGACATGCGGCGGAGCGCCGAGCGCCTGCTGGGCGCCGTGCGGGGGCTGCA